TCATTCACTGAACAAATCAGAACTTAATGCTCATTTTTAGGTAGCAATGAGATGTACCCTGAGACCACTTCAGATATTTCAGGTGTAATGAGATATCTTGAATGGTGCATGAAAATAAAATGTCAGGAAAAAACCAAAACAAGTTCATGAGAATTCACTGTGACAGTCCTGCAAAAACAACCTAATGACTAATACTCTAGGTACTTGCTTTTCAGATAATGTAGGTCTATTTTTGTTCTAACATGTCTCTGCCTCTGATATCTCCTTTTTGTTTCTCACATTCCTGCATACATTTGTATTTTGTGATGAGAATTTCATGTTGCTTCTGCTGAACTGTCTTTTTTCGTGAAAAGAAATTAATAAAACTAAGCCAAAGGGAAGGTGATTGACTGTCCCACTTGGGGGGGGGGGGAATTGCCTGTGATAATAAGCTCAAAATGTTCTTTGGGAATTGTACTTCAATAAAATCCTGTTCGAATTGAATTTCAGCATTAAAATTTATGCAGCCATTTGGTATCATACTTTTTCCTTCAGGAAAGATAAATATTTCAGTCTTCGACAATGTGAAACTGAACACATTCACTAGTAGCCCCAGCTAAAATTGCAGTAGGCTGCCGTACAGTTCCAGTGATGAATAATATGTGTTTGCATTTGGAAAATATACAGTAATCACTGCAACTATAAAGCATTACAGACAAAGAGATGGATCATTTTCTCTGATTGTTACGTAGGCCATTTGAAGGGTTGTTTTGCAGTTTCATAATTTGTTGTCACTTTAAGTTGAGGATTTTTTCTTCAGCTCAAACTGCTTAGTGTAAGGAAAACATGTATTGCGTGCTTAGCAAAGCATCCCTTAAAACTTGAGAAGCTGAAGATCCTCACGGGGTAGTTCAATTTCCAGAAAACACCCACAAAAGTAATTACATTTTTAATGAATAATTTATTTAGGGTGCTTTAGATCAGATTGTTGTTCACAGTTTCTCACTCTATGCGTTTCAACTTGATAATCGGTTTGGTTCCTACAGATAGGTTTTTAAACCCACCTAGATCTCCTGCCTGGAGAGAATCGGATGTCAGGATGGCATCTGCTGTGTCTCTAGATGCTATCATTGTCTTTATTTCTTCTGTGAACTTTTTTTTTTTTCCCATTTAAAAAGAAAGTGATAGAAACAAACTGAAAGATTGAGTCTAACATAATTTTATATATTACAATAATGATATCATCCAAGAGGAAGATGTTTTTGACATACTTCAAGTACAATTATGGTATAGTTTTAAAATGTGCCTCCCCATAGCAGTTCCAGATATCCCACCTACACAAAACATGGTAAAAGGCACTCTCCTAAGGTGGTAATTCCTAAACCGTTAGGATGTAAAGATGAAAACAATACTTTCTTGTCTTCACACAGAACTCTACAGCTATCCAGTAAGTTCTGAAAGCTTATTCAATTGTGTTTGGTTTGACTCTTCCATTTTGTACCCTTTACTGGTTGCTCATTCATCAGATCTGCAAGGCTTGGTCCTGGTACCTTTACAGAATGCCGTCATCCCCTTTGAGGTTTTCCATGGTGGCAAGGTTCTACGTCCTTTGATCCAATTGCAGGATGAGGGCTCAGTATATGTACTCCTTGGGCAGAAGGCATGCCAGGTGGTTTTTTTTTCTTCTATGGAATATTTTGCTTGTGTCATTGCTGTAACAGTAAATAAACACACTCAGATACTTCCTTTCACTTATACCTCAATAGGTGCTTGTAACAGAGTGTTTGCATCAATTCTGCGTGTACTTGATTATTGTGAAGCAGGAGCAGCACTTCTTGTAGGAAGGCTGTTGGAGAGCCTTACTGATTTTTCACCTACATAGAGCAGTGTTTATATTTCTCTTCCTATTGTAAGTGTTTTACTGAATCAGGTCCTCAGGTGAAGATGGCTGTGCTGATGGTGGTTTACAATTTGATTGTGGTTTTGTCAGTAAGAAGTTCACCAAGTGGTTGGTGTTACAAATCTTCTTTCATCTGAGATAATTCTCTTCCTCTATCTTCAGATAATTTCTCTGAAAATTATACTTTATCCAAAAAAATTATACTTTATCCAAACTCACATTCTGGTGCTAACTGAATCATATTTAATGGTGTGATATATAGGAAGTCAGATGAAAAGATCAGCTGGTCCCTTCTGGCTGCCAACTCTGTGAACTTTTGAACAGTCCTTATTCTGCAAGCAAAACAAGCAGTATTATCTGCGGAGAAAAACCCCAGTACACTTTGTGAACTGGACCGACTTAAAGTGGCGACTTTGAGTTGATCAGTCCAATGTGTAACTGGTATTCAAAAGTCTCATTCGGAGATTGGGAATAGGGAATTCTTTTTGTTGAGCAGAAAGAAACAACGTGCTTGCTCTTTACTGCCATGCTGGCTTGGATCTTATGACAGAACTTGCAGTATAGTCTCTCAGTGGTTTACAGCTATGTTGCAAATAAAATCACTTAGACACCTTTGAATGGCAGGTCTGCGTTATGAAAGAGTGAAACAGCTGGAACAGGTATAAAAAGGAATGGAAATATTGATTTTATATTTTTTTTTCACACACATGCTTATTCATGACTGAAAGACTATCTAGGTAGTGTTAATATTATCTGGAGAGGGCATATGCATTATTAAAGATTCTTTGTAGTAATAGTTTGAAATAAAACCATAATACATGTGAATTCCAGTGATTCCTTTGAAGAAACTCAAAACACAAGTAACGTGAACTGTAAATCTTGACTCCCTTCAGAATCTGTGCAGAAAGGTACAAAAATTTGCAAATCCAGGATTTTTAGATAGCCCGGTTGGCCCTAAAGCAATTATCCGATGCTATCAGCAGATCAGGAAATAGAAGCAAACAATAAGGGGACAAATCAAATATTGCTTAATGTGTTTTCTTCTCATTTCAAGTCTTTTATCCCCTTTAAGTTAGCTCATAGAAGCTATTCCTGTAAGATTTACGTTTTCCCTCTTCATTTGAAAATTCCCTTCATCTCTGTTAATTTCTTAGAAAACCATAGCTGCCCTATTTAAAGAGAACAGTTCAATAACAACTTTCAGAAGGTAGAGGGAGAACAGTGAGGCAGCGCAAGCCTCGAGCTAGAACACGGACCCTGGCTCTCCAGGAGCCAGGTTTCATCCTTGACTGAACAAATCCCTTCTGCTCTCTGCACTTCTTCGCCTCCTTTGCCTTCCGTCTTTAGCTGCGAAGCTTTGTGGGACAGCATCCTCTCCCTGTGTTTGCACAGCACTTGCAATAATGGTAACCTTGTCTCAGCTGAGACCTCTCAGAGCTGCTACAATGCAAATATTCCATTTTCTGTCTTGCAGTATGTTGACAAAATCTACGGTGTTTTATCAAGCCTTGACAGAACATGTGGCTTGTCTCGGGAGAGGTTTTCCTGTGTTCAGCAACTTGTAGCATCCGGACTTTGATTTAGCTACACCGATTGTTTAAAACATCTCATTTCTTTACACTGTGTGTTTGATTCGTTGTTTTCTCCTCTTCCAACACTTAAAATCAGTTAAATATTTGTGTCTGGAACTTGCATCAAGATCTGTCTTGAGTTAACATTGTTTTAAACTAAATCGGAGTGATTTTCTTATTTTCATTTGTGTCAGTGTCTCTGAAGAGGGCTGGTTGGTATCTTATGTTGTTCTTGCCTTCTTTATATAAACAGAGTATTAATTTCAATTGATGTGGGAAGAAACGAACTTAGCAGAAGTATTTGTGTAGATGAGGAGCATTGCTTTGCTGATTCATTGGAATCTGTTGTCTTATGCAGAATGATAATGTTTATCATAACATTAGGCAATACGTAATATGTTAGGGCAAGTGATATGTGTGTGTGTCCATTTTCTTTGTCATACAGTGAGGTATTGACTCTAGCTGGTGCAGAAAAAATGATCAAATACATTCTACTGCTTGACCAGCTCTTCAGTGTAAATATCACCTATAGGCCCAGGACTCTTGAAGAGTGAATTGTTTTTCTTAATGTTATTGACTGACATCATCTTCAAAATACAGCCGTCAGGTAAAGTTGCCTACACGGAGTGCACAGCCATGGCGTTGTCTGGGAGTATATAGTTGCCTTTATAATGGATACTCCCATATCCCAGAGCATTTCGCTGTTAATTCCATGTTCTTTGCTGCTGACTCTGCACATACTGGGACACCGTTGGGTCAAGCAGCTCTTTCTGGATGTGCACACTCCAGGGTAAGGGAAGTAAATCTTACAATATTGCAATGTAAAGCTGCTCCGCAGAATATTAGTTTCACAGCCGCAGGCTAGAGCATCGTTATATTATTTTCCATCTTATGTTAGGCATAAAGTCCCCTGGAGGAGTGTTTGTGAGTCTCTTTCCTTCCTGACCTTTAGTTTAGAGGAACACATCAACCATCTAAGGCAAAACCCGCCTTTGTGTCTCGTGCAAGTATAGATCCTGCTG